ATATTAACGATTATGAAAATATTTAATCGTTAATATAAGCTCCATAGAACCTAATTCCATCTGTCAACAAATTTATAGATGCCATGTTTGTAAAATTCTTTTAAGTTTTGATGCCAAATACGAGACTAAGTCATGTTCAATTTCTTTTCTTGATATCGACCTTAGGCCATAAATGGTTCTGCAAAACCCAAAACTTGTGATAATCAGTAGGAACAAAGGAGAAACAATATAGAGGATAAAGTACTTTTTTCCCAACCGAGCTCCTCTAAGAGACCTTCAGTCAATTGTTCAGTGTGATGACACGCATTATCGTGATGTAGGGTCCCTCCCTTTCTGTTAATTCAGAATGTACGTTTTCCGTCCAAAGCTGCTTTCAAACGAAGAAAGTTGTTGGCAGCAGAGGTCAACGTTGACTGTATGATTATTGTTTACCAATTCATAATGGATTATTCCTGGAACATCCCACCATACACTCAATATGATTTTCTTTGGTGGAAGTTCTCCCCTGAGCAGGTCTGTTGCTTCAACTGACCCTCTGACGACGGTTTTAACATTATGGTAAAGGATCCATTTCTCATCACCAGTAAAAGGCCTGTCCAAAAAGAGCACTTGAAATTGTCGTGTAAATAATGACTAGCAACAATCGAAATGTTGACGATTGTCAGGGGACAGTTCGTGCGGAACCCATTTCCATTTTCCATTTTATCCGATTTTCTTCAAACATGTTGCAAAAAATTGCCATCATGCAAGAATTAAGGTTTTAGTCCTGCTAGCTTCACCCCGTATAAAGACCACAAAAAACTGTTCAAAAAGTCAGGTTTTCGGCCATAACTTCATGGTTTTTCATCCGATGCTTTCCAAATTTGCCATGTAAATTACATATGACACACAAATTATCCTGCGTAAATGTTTGGTTTAGATTATTTCTGTTAATTGGACGAAATCTGCGACAAACTAGGTCCAAAATCGGTTTTTGCCATTTAGCCAAAAGATTTTTCATATGATTCTATCCTAAATTGTTATTCGGACAACTCTTGATCCAAAGATTGTTTGATAAGGATTATTAAAGCGTTGATAGGGGAAAAATAAAAATAAAACCTCTTATTAACCCAAGCTTTACAGTAAACGTGTGAAGAAGGAGATGGAAGTTCATGCGTTTGCACTTGCAGTTGAATCAAACTCTGACGCTTCTTCCCTTTTTTTTGTTTGATTATTAGACTTGTGAACAATGCGATACTATTTGAAAGTTATTATGGCCATAGGAAATTTACTGAATATCCAAAATATTGAAACAATTTAACTCCGAGCAACGACCACACAAAAAGGCTTTATCAATGGAATTCCGTTATTAAGAACAAACAAACACTTGCGAAGGACGCACCGTAAAAATGATGAAGAAGGGAGTAGCTTAGTATACCAACGGATGATGCATGTGAGTAGGGACGCAGGCAGACATTTCTAGACACGGGGGTGCGAGTATACAAGGGGTCCAGTTATGCAATTGCAGCCATGTACACCCGGGAAACGCCGGGTACCTCGGCTAGTATATATATAGCGAGAGAGAGAGAGAGAGATAGCATTATTACAAATATAAAATTTGTCACATACCTGATTGTTTTTTTATAGACGGACCCTACAGCAATCACTCCGTCCACTCATCAAGAGATATCAGTAATTGACTATTTATTTTCTCGTTATATACTGGGTGTGATCGACAAAATGTCGTCTAAATTACACAAAAATGAAAATAACACTGACGTCTTGTTTTAACTGACATATCTGCCAAAATTACACAAATGTATCCTGAAATACTAAAGAGTGAATTTCTTCAATAAAATCGCTGTTGTCTTTAACCCGGGCCACCAGACATCTTTGGAATTTCCTGCAACTCTTCGAAGTTGGTGAATGCTGCCATAATCCTTGCCTTCTGTTCATCTTTAGTGTTACAAAGATCTCTCGCTCAAATGCCCCTTAATCAATGTTGATACAGTCTGGATTGCCAGTTGTAAGGGGTTATGTGGTCGCAGAAATTGTCAGACGGCCATGACTGGGTTCTCCTGATGGTGCAGCATGTTACAGAGCCCTGTTGTCAGATATAGGGTCTTCCAGCAACCACCCTCTTGACCCAGGGCCGCACTACCTTCTCAAGGCACTTGATGTGAATCTGTGACCCTATGGGAAGATGAATGGAGGCATAACGTCGCCATTACCAGTGATCAAACACCTTCGTAATCACCATTTGACTCATCCAACTCTTTCCGAATCTTCTGCACTGTCCTCAGATTGACACCCAAATACTTTGAAATGTTCGCATTGGAGCAAATGCCAAGCAGTACAGTATAACGTTTCCAAATTTATGGCGTCATGGGGCTCTTTTTCCCACAGACAGTGCCCACCTGACCCTACTTTTCTGCGCAGTCGACAACATGAAAAACAAAAAACGCGCATACGCGTAATAAAAAATCTAAAATGGCGAAAATTTACCCATACTTTCACAAAATTCTTCCAAAATTACTCTGGTAATTTATTTTTTAGTTGCATAAATAAAATTCTTGTTTTTTTACACACACACACACACACACAAATATATATATGTATATATATATATATATACCCTTGTGCAAATTAATTAAAACAACCACTTTAGCTTACTTTCTTTTACCATACGGTTGGTTTTAGACGCACTGGAGTGACAGGCTATAAACGATTTCTATTTTTTCTTAGGTTAGGTCATTTGCAATGGTGTGCAGTAATATGAATCTTTTTTCGGGGTGTATGATGAAATTTGTTTGGCCTTGAATAATATTGCGTCATCCGAGATTGCATCAGTTTTTTATTACGCACAGACAGTATTGTCTCGACTGTCGATTATTTGTCCTACGGCCATTGTCTGCGATGGATGTTGCTCCAAGGAAGCTTACGAAAATTGTAACGCTGCACGAACACACAGACAAGCCTTACCAGTGAGCAAAACAAAGTACTATAAACTGGGATGAAAACTAATCACGAATCTGTGGTCAATCTGTAAGGAACGATTTCGTGGAATGGACATACGAAGTACTAACATGTGCTCTGGGTCATGATTCCTTGGCAAAATACGAAAAAAAGTAAATAATAACGGAATTATTCGTTCTCTACGAATAATTTGGATTTGATCAAAGAGCTCTAGATAAATAGTAAGAGCACCAGACTATATGTGGCAGCAATATTCTATGTATGGACAAAATGGTAAACTTACAGATATGTAGGACATGTTCCCTAAAGAGAAAAATTGTTTCGCACGACACAGTGAAACAACAAGTAATGGATTCAATATAGTCTTTCCACTTTTTGTCAACTGAGAACACTGACCCGAGAAGGTGCAGCGAATCACTTTCCTGGAGGATAGCATCAGCCATGCTGATGGAAAGCAGAGAGGAGTCTCTCAGATGATTAAGAGAGTAGCCTAGTTTTTGAAGGTGTTAAAATTAAGAAGCCATCTTTTTCCCACAACAGACTGAAAGTCGTTTTGAATTTGACCTGATGTGGATGGAGTGTGAGCTTGTGTCGATTGTCAACGCAGATAATTGTAGTCAGACACCTCTGATCGCTATCATGTAAATGATTATATTGAATCAATTGGTAGGTTTGCTGTTAAGAAAATTTAGTTCACGGTGTGGCGCCAGACAATTTTTCTCACCAGAATCCATCTTGCATTGAATATAGCTGCTACTTTTGGGCCGATGCTTCTGCTATATATATGAAGATGTTCGACGTAATCCGAAGAAAGATCTGTAATGTTATCGGTCCTAGCCTGGCATCTCCACTTCAGTCACTTTCTCACCGCTGTGAAATGGCCTCCCTCTGTCTTTTCTGCAAATATTTTCATGGTAATTATTCTAATGAGCTCTCTTCCCTGGTACCGCGGCTTCATTCATTTAAGCGTACGACTAGATTGGCAAATAGGTCTCATCGTTTTAATGTTGAACTAGTTGGATATGACCGTTAAGTTTTATTCTAATAATTCCTTTTCTCGCACTTCTCGCCTGTGGGATTATCTTCCATGTCACCTCCAATCTTAAAAAAAATTAAATAGAATGTCTATCGGTATCTTCTCAACGACTTTTCTTTCCTTGTCATTTCTTCTCACTGCAGTATTCTCATTCACTTTCACTCTCCATAACCCTTACATCATAATGGTGTTATCGCTTTGCTTAGGGTGAAATGGCGTTAAAAAAAAATTAAAGTTCCAATCAGTTTGTGAACAAAATGTTTTGGTTTTCAAATATTGCAAGTGGCGACTTCACTGGTTGATTGATTTGTTTTTTACGGCTTATCAACTTTTTGAAGAAAATATTTTTAGATTGTGAGAATTTTTTTGGAGATTGTTATATAGGAATAAAATGTCGCTGCCGACACTTGAGTCTGAACACAGATCGCCCAGTGAGAAAATAAAGGCGATCCCATTATTGAATTAGGTGGATCACGTGACCATAGAGGAAATGCATATATAGGAAGTCACGTGACGTCTAAATTATCGTTATTCCTTGTCTATCCTCGATTACAATTATGATCGTCATTTCTAGTCTATCCTCTATTACTAAACGGATCTCCATTTCTAGTCTATCCTCTATTACTATTCTCTACTCTATTTACTATACTACCTCTCTATTTCGATCACTATACGGTGATTACTATTCGAGCGAGTATTATCGAGCAAGTACTATTAGTGCGAGTGCTATTCGAAGGTGTCTGACACCAGCATTGTTCAACGGCGTACTATAAGTTGTATCTGCGATTACAAAGTCTCTACTACAACGAGCATTACAAAAGTGACAACGAGTATTCACTGGCATCACAAAAGAGATAATAATAATAATCCTACTAATTAACCCATAGCTGGGAGAAGAAAAGGTAGATTCATACCTTCGGCAAGGGTATTTGCCTGTAAGTGAATATAAAGAACCCAACTGGAATTGGAACTTCCGATCTCCACTTATCACACCGCTCGTACATCCAAGCTTACAGCACTTGGTATTCCCAAGCAGTTACCCATCTAGGTACTAACCAGATTCGACGCTGCTTAACTTCGGTGATCGTACGAGAATCGGTGTTTAAACGTAATATGGCTGTAAGCTTAGGGAGAGGTCAGCCCAAGTCATTGAGCAATGTTAAACATTGGCGTCCGTAATGGGGAATAAGTTTTCACCGTGAATCATTATTCTCAAATGCGAAATTTATGACTTTCATGTTTAATGCTGATATGAGTACAAAATGACCCATGATGAAGTTAAACCTTTGATAAATTTGGCGCAGTAGAATGATTCAGAGAAATGCTGACATAAGAAATCCTCACCTTTTAACACATTAAGTCTTCTTTGTCCTTAGGGCTTTACTGCTATTCATACTTTTTCATACCTATCTCCGCACCTTCAATATCGCATTCACGAGTCCCATAACCCTTTACAGTCGTAGTTACACCACGTGTGGGTGCGCCTGCGATAAAACAGCCTGACTAAGCCCATCCTTCTTAAACTGTTTTTTTTTATTCAATGTTTTCTTTCTACTAGACTTGTTACGCTATCGAGGCTAAATAGAACAGTCTACTTTATTATTATTTTTTTTTGGGGGGGGGGGGAATTCAGAGTTTTCTTTCTCCTAGACTGGCTAGCAACCAAGATAAGAGAACGAAGTTTTGCTATTTAAATCCGAAGACGGATTCATACCTTTTCCAAGGGCGTTAGTGTGAAGTGAACGAAACAACGTTGATCAGAATTTGAAATCGGCACGCTACCCGCATATGCTTCAATATCTTCTTCTATGTGTTGTGACCGTTCAGAACGTGTGCGATCATGGCTCTCCACAATCTTCCATCCTTTGTAGCCCTTAGCAGCATTTGTCCCTTTTACAAGCACCCCGCCTCCCGTTCAGCCATCAATTCGCACAAGCTCGTCAGGCAGCTGACCCTCTGCCTTCCCCTGTCTTTCTTTCTCTCTCTCTCTCTCTCTCTCTCTCTCTCTCTCTCTCTCTCTCTCTTGCCCTCGATATGCTTTGTGAGTGTCAAATTTTCCAAACTCCATCCACATTATGTGTTCTATGGAATCTCAGTATCCTTTTGTAGAAACATATTCCTGTTGCCTCCAGTTTTCTCTTCATTCGTGCGGTGATAGTCCATTATTCCCTGTCATACAAGAGGAGTGTTATTAGATAACAGTTTAGCACTCGTTTCTTTGTTTCTAACGGAAGTTTTTTTTTCTTAGTACTTTGCTTAGGTTTTAGAAGGCATTTTTGATAATACAATGCTCGTTCAGATATATCCTCCTTAAAAATACATTGCAGCAGGTCAATATCTACAATCTGATCTGCCAACCCACGGATCTACTGATGATTCCATTAGAATGGAAATGCCTGGTACCCAGTAGAAAATGAAACTCACTCGACAGTAGTGTCTATGAGAAACCTTGCTAAGCATTACTCCACAACCGAACGCACCCATCTGTGTGTTTATGTAGGTTTTTTTCCTATTAAAATCCTACTTATAAAGTAGGATTAGAGATTCAATAACGGTTGACACTGCATTTAAATCTTTTGAATATCAAAGTTGATTGCAAAGCAAGAGAAAAGAAGATAGTTTCGCAAAGAAGAAACTGTTAGCATACAACTTACGATTACATTTGGCCTTTTCAACTGTAAAATGATGGGACCTAGCTGCCAATCTAGTACTGCGGTTAAATTTGTAAAGTCGAGGTACTAAAGAAGAAAGCTCATCAGAACACCCACTATGAACATATTCATAGAAAAGACACAGGGAAGCTATGTGACGGCAGTGGGAAAGTGACTGAATACGAAATGCCGGTTCAGAACCGATAAAATTGCATATTCTTCCTTGAATTTTATCAAGATTCTTTAAATACATAGCAGAGGCACCGGACCAGATGTGACAGCAATATTCAAAGCATTACTGGACTTATAAACGTGTAAAATAGGTTCGGGTGAAAAAAAATTGACTAGGACGACACAATGAATCAACTTTCCTACCAACAGACCGAAAAATTCAGTTAGCGTTTTAAAAAATTCAGCGTTCATATAATTAACATGAATCCTGTTTGTCTCGCTAATGTAGATTTGGTTGAATTAAAATCTATTTTTCTGATGACGCCGGTTAATCGATGAAACATGTCAAAGTAAACCTTTTCCAAATTATGACATGCATTTAAATTCTTCATCTAAATTTCAATCAATTATTTTTTCAGCATTATTCATATATATTGAGTTATTTTGTGTTTTTATTTTTGTGGTATAACAATGCACATTAAACTTTTCACAGGTCCCATTCGTTATCATCGTTCTTTTGCCGTATCGAAAAGCAAAAAAGTGTCTGCAAAACTGAATTCAAAGTGTCTTATTCGTCCAAATTCCCTCAACGTTATCTAACTTTTATTCTTTTCTATTTCCGATCCCTATCTGCTTAATCACGGATCTGCTGATGATTCTATTGGAAGGAAAACTCCATTCAGTGATAGGTCAAAGGACTGATTTTCTAGAAAGTAGCATTATTTTTAGCTGAAGCTGTATTTGACCAATATGAGTCCTTTTTGAAAAAAGGGAGTAGAAACTAATATTATTTAAAGTGGAAGACCAAGATAATCTTAACTAAAAGCCGAATATAATTTTGACTAAAGAAAAAAACTAATATAATTTTCATTGAAAAAAAACTAATATAATTTTCACTGAAAAAAAAGTTAATATAATTTTAACTGAAAAAAATAACTGAAATGTACTGAGAAAACGAATATAATTTTGACTAAAAACCTAATGTAAACTTAACTGAAAAAATTGGTATAATCTTAACTGATAAAAATATAATATAATTTTAACTGAAAATACAAATATAACTTAAAAAACTAATATAATTTTGATTGAAAAGGTTAGTATTGTCTTGATTGAAAATTTATATAATTTAAACTGAAATAAATAATAAAATCTTAATTTTTTTAAATTACTGTAAAGTAAATTTAAAAACTATTATTTTAACTGAAAAAAAATTAATATTATTTTAACTGAAAAGTCCCCTTTTAGCATTATATTTGAAAAAAATTAATTTAATCTTTTTCGGAAAAGCTGTAAATGTCAAGTTTAATATCATATTGGGGTGGGTGTGCGCGCACACGTTTGCACACTCTTGTAAATAAGGCTTTTGTGTTTTATACCACTATATTTTGTTTGACGTGCGTATATATATATATATATATATATATATATATATATATATATATATGTGTGTGTGTGTGTGTGTGTGTGTGTGTGTGTGTGTGTGTGTGTGTGTGTGTGTGTGTGTTATGTATATGTGTACGTATTTTCATGTATCTCTGTATATGTACACAATAATATGCACGATATATATTTGGTGTCCTTAAGGCGGTCCACCCAAGCCGAATATAATAGACTGATTGTTTGCTTTATTCAAAATCTACTTACCTGCTGCATTTGAAAATATTGCTTTTTCATTCCACGGCCCAAAAAAAAAGAAAGACGAAAATGTCTTTCTTAATCGAATAAGCAATGTACAATTTTATTACGTAATTTATTCTTATTTATTTTTATAACGTGTCGACGTACGTATTTCTCTGGCGAAAATGTATGGAAGTTCTATTGTTTGTGCCTATTTATGCCTTTCGGGAAACTTCTCTTGCCATTAAATTCTTTATCTATAAATGGGAGGGTCGAGTACGCTTTTATGTGAGGTGGTTCAGTTACTAAATACGTTGTTTTTATTAACATTATATCTGTATGAAGGGTCTCAATGAAGGTATAAATGCCTTTCTGTTCTGTCTCTAACAAGCAAGCAAAATTATTCGGTGTGCTTCAGGTTTTTTATTTTAAAATATATATTTTTAAATGGGCGCTCAAAGCACAAGAATAAACAATTACTTTACATATGTATTCTCTAGTTAAAATCACATCAGCATGACATTGCACTTTATTGGCTATTTTATTTTTCACGACGTGCAGCGAATTAGTCATGTATCTTTCATTAGTGGATATGGTAGATCAACCCTTTGATCATGTTAACCATCACCGTACATTGCCGATTTTAAAATTGAAAATAGACGTTTAAATACGAATTCAAAATCATGTGACATATTAGAAACTGTAGAAAGAATCATTACAAATTGGCTTATTTTTATGTTTAACGTATTTAATACAGTATTTTTGAATGCAAGAAAATAGAAAGAAGATATGATAAGAATGCGTTTTCTCGGCCGGTTTATTTAACCAATACATGTCTAAAGTTTTGATACATAGGAAATTTCATTATCTATATCATTTTACCTCCACAGATTAAACATGGTTTTGTAGAAAGAAAGAATTGAGTTCTTTTTCTGGGGTTATACTAAAAGAGAAGGTCTACTCAATAAACATCACTGATGCAACAGAGTTGATTGAATGCATAAAGAGTGAATGTGCTAAAATTGACGACAATGTGAAGTTACTGCATCAAGTTCGCGTGAATCTTGCAAAGCGCATCAGCATTTGCATCACGAATGATGGAAATCATATTGAAGATGTTATTTTTTTAATATTCCAATAAAATGTTGAAAATTTCATTTCTTGAAAATATGCATTTTTGACTATGTGTCCAGACATTAGGGACAGCCTGTAGAAAATAAAAGCAAGAAAAAATGACTATTTATTGTAACTAAACAGGTTGCATGATTATCTGAAAAAAATAGACAAAACGAAGATGTGAACGACGTACCGGGGGACACTAAAATCAAACAGGTGCAGAAATTATATGTACAGATCCGTGTAGTAACTGACAACGTAAATGTTGTGGAGTGGTTTCCCAGTGGAGGCTTGTAGTTGTACTAAGTCGGTCCTAAAATAGGTTCGACGTACAAAACGTTAGGAAATTGATATAATAGGTAATGACGCAGAGAAATCTAGTTATGGTCGCTGATACTTTCGTATTCGACTAACGGTCGTCCGGCATCGACTGACTGATTTAGCGACTGCTACTACTCCTACTTATTATAGGTAGGAGAGTCTATTAACAATAGAAGAGGTGTGTTCCACTATAACAGTAAATGTGTCGGAAAATGCACTTAAGAATGCCGGAAAGTCCCTTCCAGA